GCATCTATCTTTGTGTCAAGAGTCCCAAGAGTCTGCTCTTCTTGAATTCTCAACTTTTCAATGTCGTCTCTCAATCGTGACTCTCTCTGTTCCGCTTCCCTTGTCATTCGCGACAAATTCTTCGCCAAGTGTTCATCCGTTCTTTCCCTCAAGCGTTTTTTGCTTCTACCAACTTGCGGTTTATCTATTGCGGTCTATTGCGGTTTATCTCTTCCCGCAGACTTTCTCTCTCGACGTGGACTGCTCTTTCTAGTTCACTCATTCTTATGGACATCTGTCCATTCTGTTCTCCTATGCTGCCTACTATGTTGGTCAAGGCTTCTTCAATTGATACTCCGTTGTCCACTAGTGGCGTCACAAGTGGCGGTGTTACCCTGTCTATCCCAGGTAGTTTGGTGCTGGTCGAGATTCGGGCTTTGATTCTCTGCCTCGACGTCTTTTCATTATCCATCTCTGGATCGGCCAGTGCGTTGCTGAGCCCTGTGTTTCTACTCTCCCCAGTTCGCATTTCCGAATTCGTCATACTCACAAAGTCTCCTGACTGGCCTGATGTGTTTGTGGTTTTGCTTATTGTCCTCACTACGTCAATTTGGTCCATGGTGCCAATCCCTTTGTCGGTGTATGCTTCATTCTCCTGAGTCGAACTATTGAGGCTGACTCGAGATCCAAAGTCAACTTGCTCGTCATCGTCCTCTTCTTCCTCCTGGGATTCTCCTTCATCGCCTGTACCCGCTCCCATGGTAAAGGGAAAGATACTTCCGAAAGTGTTCTTCACTCTCTCTAAGAACGACGAGGACGTTGCCTGTTTCTCCGTCACGCCTGCCATCATGGTGTTGTCTGTGGGAGATCTTCTAGTTGCCACAATTTCAGTAGAGATGTCGGACAGTTCCGACATCTCCTCTCGGTCGGTCCAGTGACCCGGTGGAAGTGGCAAAATCTTGGCCTTGTTCTACCGGGGGAGATTCACTCGCCAGCCTTCTGTTTCCTCTCCCCTCCGGTCCACGTATCTCCTGAACCTCATCTATGTCTTGGTCCGGATGGACCTCCACTTCTAGCATTGCTTTTCGCTCTACTGAAACTTTTGACTCCTGGTTTCAACCATTCTGCGTGAAACCGTCTCCCCATTGTCGGTCCGGGTTCGTATGATCCTTTCCACAAACGGGTCGGTCATTGCTTTTCTCTGTTTCTCAGGTATGAATTTCCTTGAGCTATCACTCAGTTTAGGTATCCTTGACTTGTCTAGACTCATTTTCAATTTATCACTTCTTACTTCCTATACACTCAATTTGATTGCTAGTGTCCTTTTGGTCTATATACTTGTAACAATAACACAACACAATAATTTTCAAACGTTTCTATTAAATAGTGACCACGAAACCTTGTATGTTATTACAGTACAGCGTGTGTACAATTTATTCAAAATGATCAATTATTAGTCGTGAAATCTGAAGCTAACACAGTATGATGATATTAGTCTATTTAAAAGATAGTGTTCTCACTACCCAATCAAGCGCAAATATTATTGATATAAAACCGAAATTGACAAAAGTAAGAATATTTTCTATGGAAAACGTATGTGTTTTGTAGTTTTAGTCAGTTGCAATACAATAGTCGAACTTGTTTTTAAAGAAAGAGCTTTCCCTGCTTGGTGCTGCACCAAACAGACAAAAATTGGAGGCAGTAATTTTCTCAAGTGGGCGTCTATTGCACCCACCGAGTCCTGTGTTACCTTTCTGCCTTCGGACTGCCCGAGTTAGAACTACTAAAATCATCAGGGCAATCACTGTTCTCCAAAAACGTTTCGGATTTCAATCCACACCAATGAGTTATACACTCTTGTTCAATTTAGACTTAGTGTCGCAAATATTCGAGTTTAGACCTGTTTTGTTTGGTTTGGTTTTTTATAAAAGGCAAGTTACCAGTGCAGTCACTGGTTCCCAGCCTATCTGTTAATAACTTAATACCTTTAACTACTTTCTTCTCTGTTGTCTTTTTAAGTCTTGACAAAACAAAACCCCTCCGGATTGACAAAAATAGGACCCCTCCAGATTAGTAAAAACAAGACCTTTCCGGATTGGCAAAATTGTGACCCCTTCGGATTGGCAAAAATAAGACCCCTCCGGATTGGGACCCCTCCGGGTTTGAAAAAATAGCTTCTCGGAGACTTTCTAAATTGTCACCCAATACCCTTCCGGATACGTTCTGCGATGCTTTTATGCTGTATGAATTAACTAGGAAGGGTGTTTCGTCTTTCCCAAGACCCTTCCGGATTGAAATTAAGCCTCTTATTTGATTATTCACCCTAACGGTGAAGGGTCTTATCGCTAGCCTATTTTCGACTTGACTAATGTATTCTGGTGCCCATAGCCTTCCCTTTTCATCTAGACTTCCCTCCCCCACCCTTACCCTTTGGTAGGGGTGTAACAGCTTTCCAAAAAATTTTTATAAAACTTGAAGGGTCTACCTTCCCGAATTGGCGAATTTAAACAATCCTAAAAAATCTTCACGCTTACTTTTTTGAAAAATTGATCTTTTTATTAGTAAGCTCAGCTAATTGCCGATCTAATGGTACCAAGATCAACTGGATCTATCCAGTAGTTCCAAAGTTATTAACCAAAACGTCTTTTTTCAAAATTTCTCTCTTATAGGTTCCAACTTTTTTCGCAATTCTGTTTTTTCCTATCTAAAAATTATTCATCCGAGCTCAAAAAGCCGGTACTGTTCTAGTTCAATGCAAAAAAAAACGATCTAATACGCTCTAGCTGAAAAAAATTTTCAAAAACTATGCTATTTGGACCCCTCCGGATTGATGAATCCACTAAATCAAACACGTTATTTTCGATTTCTCTGTAACCCGGAAGGTTATAATCAAACGGGTTTTGAAACCTGTCGATTCACTAATTTTAATTGTCCTAACTCAAAAATTTCAAAAATTTGTCTTATTTTATAGCGTTTCGTTTATTCAAAAATCACTAAAGTTCGGTTTTTGGTACCCAAATAGTTCCAACCACTTTTGAACTAAACTCAACCGGTTCTACTTATTATACTAGTACAGTTACGTTGTAACTCACTAATTTAGCGCTTTTTTCCGTTTCAAAAAAATTCTCGATTTCTCAAAAATCGCGATTTGTGGGGGGATCCCTAAAAACCGGTCCTTTTACTGTGTTTTCCACTGAAAAACGATATAGGAGTATTAATATAGGCTGTATTAACAACAATATTAGAAATAATATACCCCTCCGGGTTGGTTCAAAATCCGAATTAAGGTGCTTAACTCGGAATTTCGCAGTTCGGTGAAGGGTCACTACAGTGCAGCACTGTCGAGCCCCCCACAGATTACTATCTTAATTTTTGTACCAAAAGGGATACAAAACTTGTTAACGATACCCAACAGTCGATTGTTGTTGTCGTTGAGCCCCTTCTTGTTGCTCCGTGAACTGCTTGCCGGATCACTTTTCTTCACTAATCCCGAGACCCTTCCGGATTGAGTGCAATTAGCACTAACGTGCTTAAATACTCAAATAACCCTACAGTACAAGCCTCCCACACGGGCTAAAAAATTGATCCCACCAATCCTGACTGATTTAAACGCCTGTAACAACAATTTATCTAACAACAACAAACGGGAGGGTCGGATCACATCTCGTCTGGGGGAATGATTTCTACTGATTTTATACTTTTTTACTGTTTTTGATTTTTTCGGTTATTTTTATGTTTTTTGTTTTTCTTGGTTACTATACTGCTTTTTGTTTGGTTTCTTGCAATTCTTTGAGTGTTTTTGGTCACAGACCTCTCAGGGAACGAGGGGACGGCCGATCCCCCAACCCTTCCTGGAACGTGAATTTTCGGTGTTAACTAGATTAAAAAGCTTTTCACGGAATCCGGAAGGCCTCCGCGTTCCGAACTACCCTTCCACCCCGGCGATTAGGGCCTATTAAGGGCGTTATTATGAGCATCCGCTCGGCAAGGGCTGCTCGTTAACGGTTCTGCCGGTCATGAAATTAAAAAAGAATAACACCCAGGAGCGCCATAAAAACATCTATGTAACTTTCGCCCGGAAGTACATACCGACGGTAAATAAAGCTAAGTTATAAACCGACTGGCCAGCGTCTAAACAAAGCTCTACATGCTTTTCGCCGTCTCTACCGAGGCCAGTTCTTTTTGTGGTCTTTCCATTATCGGTTCGACAAAAAACGTTACTGTTCTCCGGCTTCGACCAAAACGCTCAAATTAACTTACTTACTTGCAAAATTAGTGAGCTCATGGCTGGGTCTCAGTATCCCCAGATCACGAGGTCACTCCTAAAAACAAGGTTACTACTACTTATTATATTACCATTGTTTTTGTTCAGTAGATGAAAATCATCATCTCATCGAAGATGGATCAACCCTTTCCTTCAACTCCCAGCTTCTCATTATTAGAAAATGAATCCAAATGTTAATTAAATTCAATTCAGGGCATGACTAGGAAGCTAAAAGTTTGTATAAAATAGTTTAAGTTCAAGTCTCAAGACCCCTCCGGATTACTTAATCCGGGGAAATAACACCTTATTTCCTCTCCGGAAAGCTGAATTCACAACTCCCCCACCACCCTTCACCGTTGGCGTGAATGGCTTTGTAACGACTGTAGCGACACAATCAATACAATTTGGAGCGGTCTTTGCTAACACTCTGTCGTGTTTTCTGTTTCCCGTCAAAGTTTTTTTCGCAACTATCGTTGTTGTTGTGTTCTCTTTTTAATTTCTTCTAAAATGGCCGTTTTCGTCGTTTCCCGGAAGTGTGACGTCACAAATCGAAATTTCAAAATTTAGAACTTCCAGAACCTTCCGGCCTTCGCAATTCGTCTAATTGTCTAAATAACACTGATAATCCTTTAAAACTGCCAATTCTCTGGATTAGCGGCTAGCCATCCGAAACTGTCTTTTTGTCAATTCTGGTCGAATGTCACACTAGTGTAGAGGTATGTGTTTTGCAACAAGTCCTTTTCAAAGTTTCAGTTTCTATGGAACTTCGCTAGTTACCAATATGGACGAGATTGTGAGAAATGCCCTTAAGCATTACAAAAAGTTACCTGCATCTGATAAAACGGAAATTGGGCTCCTGAAATCTCGTATTGATGAGCAGAGTAATTTAATCATGATTTTAAAGACAAGGGCAGATGATGAATATAAACGTCGGAAAGTGTTCGAAGATCTTGTTGACGGTCTTCAGCATACAATTAATGATTACGAAGAGCAGGTTGAAGCTGTTAAGTTGAAGTTTAGACTACTTGAAGAGAAGTTTGATGTTTTGGGTACATATTCTTTTGCATTTATATTTTACATTAGAATCGATGGGTTTGTTAACATGGTTTTTTTTTATTCAGCCTCAAATCACCATGAGATGATCCAAATAAAAAACGAATACAAACAACAGAATGAAAAGTTTCGTATGAAGTATGAAAGTATCTTGAAGAAAATCGGTATCTTCAAGGAAATCGGTCTGCAGAAAAAGCTCAAGCTGTTAAAACATTAAATCAAACCATCCAACAGTTGCAAAAGGAGTTACAGGCAGTCAGTCATGATAAAAGATCAGCTTAATTAAATTTATGTGTAAGATTTCAAAATTTCCAAAATCTCGAAACTCGTGTTCATTTCGCAAAAAGTTTAGAAGAAGTATTTGACAAAAAGCGCCATTGCTGAAACATGGTTGATATCAGTATGATTTTAGGAAAACTGACGCGGAGTTTATTGAAAGCCGAAACAATTGGAATTCTGAAAAGGAGTCATTTGAGCGACAACTGACATCCCTTAACAAAGTTCTGGATGGTAAAGAATTTAAAATCTGATTTTGAAGAATTCAGCTGGACAAAATTTTAACATAAATGGGTATATTGAGGGTGTATAATTCTTTTTTTGGCACGTCTTATATCGGCATGCGATGATACCGATAGGTAAAACAAGAAGCTTGAAAAACAATAATTAACCTTGCCATATGCATGGGTATTGCAATCGTATACTAGATTTTGTCCCGTAAATATTTTTAGGCACAGAATGGTCACTATGGAAATGGAAATTTACGTTAAGTTCGGTTCAGCTCGTAATTAATTTAATTTCGTCTTTGTGTCACTGGCACTTGTGGTCTGGAGGTAACGAATACGCCTGGGGTGGCAAAAAACGTGGGTTCGAATCTGACAGGACCTGTTTTTTTTTTCAAACGGGAAGTATCTAGTTTTTTACATTATAGTTGCTTTTAGTATTCTGATTTGTTTCTGATGTTTGTAATTTTACTAACCATGACTTTTTATGTTTTTTTGCTGAAAAATTTTATTTTGCTCAAATGATTTCGACCTATTTTTATCGACTCAGTGACCTAATTTTGATTCGTTGCAGGGAAAACAAAAAATTTATGCATTTTTCGAATGTTATTTTTTTCCTTGCGTTCGTGGTTCTTTTCATTTGTCTGTTGGCTATGTTCTAGGAAATCAAGTGTGTCAAGAAACATAAATATTTTTTCAAATATGGCGAGCGGTGTAAATAGGTTCAGTTTTTTAGATACAGACAGGGTGCAAAAGGTTAAAAAAAAGTATGTTATAAGAAAATAGGTCAGAACAGTCAAATCAATGGTTCCTTTTTCATATTGTTTCTCTATCAATTAGCCAGCGAGTTTTAAGTTCAATGAATCATTTATACAAGAAGAGTACGAAAAAAGTTTGGAGAATTTTCTGGCTCAGGGAGATTTCTCATTTTTGATTTAGCGTGACCCCCATTTTGAAGAGAAATATCTTTCTGCGCGCGAGAGTAAAATTAATTGGTGATTTGCTGATTCAAGAGTTTTTGTTAATTGAGAGTATGAAAGTATCTTGAAGAAAATCGGAAAAAGGTTTTCTGGTGCCCTTAGCCTTCTCTTTTTGTCTAGAACAGCGTAAAAGTGCCTTATTCAACCGTTACTACCCTTTTGTAGGGGTGTAAGGGCTTTCTAAATTTTTTTAAATAAAACGTGAAGGGTCTACCTTCCCGAATTGGTGAATTTGCTAAAAACAGACCTAAAAAATCTTCAAGCTTACTTTTTTTGAAGAATTGATGTTTTTATTAGTAAGATCAGCTAATTTTTGATCTAATGGTACCAAGATTAACTGGATCTATCCAGTATTTCCAAAGTTATTAACCAAAACGTCTTTTTTCTGAAGTCAAAAAATTTCTCTCTTATGGTTTCCACCTAATTTTTTTCGCAATTCTATTCTTTCCAATCTGAAAATTTTTGATTTGAGCTCAAAAGGCCTGTACTTTTCTAGTTCAATGCAAAAAAAAACGATCTAAAACGCTCTAGCTGAAAAAAGTTTCCAAAAACTATGCTATTTGGACCCCTCCGGATTGATGAATCCACTAAATCGAACACGTTATTTTCGATTTCTCTGTAACCCGGAAGGTTATCGACAAACGGGTTTTAAAACCTTGCGATTCCTTAGTGGATATTGTCCGAACAACAATTTTAATTGTCCTAACTCAAAAATTTCAAAAAAATTTCTTATTTTATAGCGTTTCGTTTATTCAAAAATCACTAAAATTCGGTTTTTGGTAACCAAATAGTTCCAACCACTTCTGAACTAAATTTAACCGGTTCTACTTATTATACTAGTGCAGTTACGATGTAACTCACTAATTTAGCGCTTTTTTTTTGTTTCAAAAAACATCCATTTCTCAAAAATCGGGATTTGTGGGGTGATCAAAATATCGCTATTTTGACCCTAAAAACCGGTCCTTTTACTGTGTTTTTCACTGAAAAACGAAATAGGAGTATTAATATAGGCTCTATAAACAAAAATTTTAGTAATACTTTACCCCTCCGGGTTTGTTCAATATCCGAATTGAGGTGCTTAACTCGGAGTTCCGCAGTTCGGTGAATGGTCACTACAGTGCAGCACTGTCGAACCCCTCACAGATAAATAACTTACTTTTTGTACCAAAAGGGATACAAAACTTGTTAACAAAACCCAATGGTCGATTGTTTTTCTCGTTAAGCCCCTTCTTGTTGCTCCTTGAACTGCTTGCCGGATCACTTTTCTTCACTAATCCCGAGACCCTTCCGGATTGAGCGCAAATTAGCACTAACGTGCTTAAATACTCAAGTAACCCTACAGTACAAGCCTCAGAAACGGGCTACAAAAATGATCGCAAGAATCCCGACTGATATAAATGCCTGTAACAACAGTATACCTAACAACAACAAACGGGAGGGTCGGATCATATCTCGTCTGGGGGGATGATTTCTACTGATTTTATACTTTTTCTACTGTTTTTGATTTTTTCGGTTATTTTTTGATGTTTTTTGTTTTTCTTGGGTACTATACTGCTTCTTGTTTGGTTTCTTGATTATCTCTAAGTGTTTTTGGTCACAGAACTCTCAGGGAACGAGGGGACGGCCGATCCCCCCACCCTTTCTGGGACGTGAATTTTCGGTGTTAACCAGACTAAAAAGCTATTCACGGGAACCCGGAAGGCTTCCGCGCTCCGAACTACCCTTCCGCCCCGGCCGTCAGGCCTACTAAGGGTGTTTTTATGAGCATCCGCTCGGCGCGGAGTGCTCGTTAACGGTTTCTGCCGGTCATGATGTTAAAAAAGAATAACACCCAGGAGCGCCATAAAAACATCTATGTAACTTTCGCCCGGAAGTACATATCGACGGAAAATACAGCTAAGCTATAAACCAACTGGCCAGCGTCTAAACAAAGCTCTACATGCTTTTCTCCGTCTCTACCAAAGCCAGTTCTTTTGGTGGTCTTTCCAACATCGGGCGACAAAAAACGTTACTGTTCTCCGGCTTCGACCAGAATGCTCAAATTAACTTACTTACATGCAAAATTAGTGAGCTCATGGCTGGGTCTCAGTATCCCCAGATCACGAGGTCACTCCTAAAAGCAGGGTTACTACTACTTATTATATTACAATTGTTTTTGTCCAGTACATAAAAATCATCATCTCCATCGAAGTTGGATCAACCCTTTCACTCAACTCCCAGCTTCTCATTATTAGAAAATGAATCAAGATGTTAATTAAATTCAATTCAGGGCATGACTAGGAAGCTAAAAATTCGTATAAAATAGTTTAAGTTCAAGTCTCAAGACCCCTCCGGATTACTGAATCCGGGGAAATAACACTCCGGAAAGCTGAATTCACGATTCCCCCACCACCCTTCACCGTTGGCGTGAATGGCTTTGTAACGACTGTAGCGAATTTTGATGTTTTACTTGAAGAGAACTTTGATGTTTTGGGTACATATTCTTTTGCATTTATAATTTACATTAGAATCGATGGGTTTGTTAACTTGTTTTTTTTTATTCAGCCTCTAATCACCATGAGATGATTCAAATAAAAGACGAATACAAACAACAGAATGAAAAGTTTCGTATGAAGAATGAAAGTATCTTGGAAGAAAATCGGTTTCTTCTGGGAAATCGGTCTGCAGAAAAAGCTCAAGCTGTTAAAACATTAAATCAAACCATCGAACAGTTGCAAAAGGAGTTACAGGCAGTCAGTCATGATAAAAGGTAAGCTTGATTAATTTTATGTGTAAGATTCCAAAACCTCGAAACTCGTGTTCATTTCGCGAAAAGTTTAAAAGGAGTATTTGACAAAAAGCGCCATTGCTGAAACATGGTTGATATCAGTATGATTTTAGGAAAACTGACGCGGAGTTTATTGAAAGCCGAAACAATTGGAATTCTGAAAAGGAGTCATTTGAGCGACAGCTGACATCCCTCAACAAAGCTCTGGATGGTAAAGAATTTAAAATCTGATTTTGAAGAATTCAGCTGGACGAAATTTTAACATAAATGGGTATATTGAGGGTGTATAATTCTTTTTTTTTTGGCACGACTTATATCGGCATGCGGTGATATCGATAGGTAAAACAAGAAGCTTGAAAAACAATAATTAACCTTGCCATATGCAAGGGTATTGCAATCGGGTACTAGAATTTGCCCGTAAATATTTTTAGGCACAGAATGGTCACTATTGGAAATGGAAATTTACGTTAAGTTCGGTTCAGCTCGTAATTATTTCAATTTCGTCTTTGTGCCACTGGCACATGTGGTCTGGAGGTAACGAATACGCCTGGAGTGGCAAAGAACGTGGGTTCGAATCTGACAGGACCTGTTTTTTTTCAAACAGGAAGTATTTAGTTTTTTACATTATAGTTGCTTTTAGTATTCTGATTTGTTTCTGATGTTTGTAATTTTACTAAACATGACTTTTTATGTTTTTTTTGCTGAAAATTTTATTTTGCTCAAATGATTTCGACCTATTTTTATCGGCTCAGTGACCTAATTTTGATTCGTTGCAGGGAAAACAAAATTTTTATGCTAATTTTTGGATCGCACAAAATGCTAAAAATCTTAATAGAAAGTCTAGTTCAAGTTTTCCATGACAATAACTTTTTTTGCTTCTTTGATTTTTTTCCTTTTTTTGGCTTAATAGGTTTTGACCTATATTAGATAGGTTTAATGGCTATATTGCGTCTTTCGATGAGCGAAAAAAACGCATATTGCGTCTTTCGACGTGTGTATTTTTCGGCTTTGTTACCGCTTGGTAATTTTTCTTCCGATGCTTATCTGCTTATTTTTTTTTCCATTGTCTGGGCATGTTTTTTTAATTAAAAACTGGCTTTATTTTTTGATAGATCTAATTTTTCCGGCATTTCGTAGCTTTTTTTGAAGTTTTTCGATATTTTCTGAATACTCTTATATAGGAGTTTGTCTCGTGATAACGTGATAGACCTCTAGTTTCGGAAGTGGATTTTAATTTTCAGTTATTTCAGCGGAATCAAAAGTTTACCTAGTGATCAGTTTTCTCAAATTCGGTTGATTTTGTCAAGAAAAGTTCAATAATAAATTGTTTTTGAAGTTCAACCACCTTTAGGGTCATATTTTTCGAATGTTATTTTTTTCCTTGCGTTCGTGGTTCTTTTCATTTGTCTGTTGGCTATGTTCTAGGAAATCAAGTGTGTCAAGAAACATATATGTTTTTTCAAATATGGCGAGCTGTGTAAATAGTTTTTTAGATACAGACAGGGTGCAAAAGGTTAAAAAAAGTATTTTATAAGAAAATAGGTCAGAACAGTCAAATCAATGGTTCCTTTTTCATATTGTTCTCTATCAATTAGCCAGCGAGTTTTAAGTTCAATGAATCATTTATACAAGAAGAGTACGAAAAAAAGTTTGGAGAATTTTCTGGCTCAGGGAGATTTCTCATTTTTGATTTAGCGTGACCCCCATTTTGAAGAGAAATATCTTTCTGCGTGCGAGAGTAAAATTAATTGGTGATTTGCTGATTCAAGAGTTTTTGTTAATTGAGAGCAAGCGCATTTCTGGCAGTTTCCTTCTGTATAAAATTACAACAGAAAAGGATACTGTTTTATAATTGTTTTTTTTTAATTGTTTTTTTAGACCCTTCTGGATTGAAGTTAAGCCTCTTATTTGACAATTCACCCTAACGGTGAAGGGTCTTATCGCAAGCCTAGTTTCGACTTGACTAAGGTTTTCTGGTGCCCTTAGCCTTCTCTTTTTGTCTAGAACAGCGTAAAAGTGCCTTATTCAACCGTTACTACCCTTTCGTAGGGGTGTAAGGGCTTTCCAAAATAATTTTTATAAAACGTGAAGGGTCTACCTTCCCGAATTGGTAAATTTGCTAAAAACAATCCTAAAAAATCTTCACGCTCACTTTTTTGAAGAATTGATGTTTTTATTAGTAAGATCAGCTAATTTCTGATCTAATAGTGCCAAGATCAACTGAATCTATCCAGTAGTTCCAAAGTTATTAACCAAAACGTTTAACCGATCTGAAAATTATTGATTCGAGCTCAGAAGGCCTTTACTCTTCTAGTTCAATGCAAAAAACCCGATCTAAAACGCTCTAGCTGAAAAAAAATTCCAAAAAACTGTTTGGAGCCCTCCGGATTGATGAGTCCACTAAATCAAACAGGTTATTTTCGATTTCACTGTAACCCGGAAGGTTATCGACACACAGGTTTTAAAACCTGTCGATTCACTAGTGGATGTTGTCCGAACAACAATTTTAGTTGTCCTAACTCAAAAATTTCAAAAAATTTTCTTATTTTATAGCGTTTCGTTTATTCAAAAATCACTAAAATTCGGTTTTTGGTAACCAAATAGTTCCAACCACTTCTGAACTAAACTCAACCGGTTCTACTTATTAACTAGTACAGTTACGATGTAACTCACTAATTTAGCGCTTTTTTCCGTTTCAAAAAATATCGATTTCTCAAAAATCGCGATTTGTGGGATGATCAAAATATCGCTATTTTGACCCTAAAAACCGGTCCTTTTAATGTGTTTTTCACTGAAAAACGATATAGGAGTATTAATATAGGCTGTATAAACAAAAATATTAGTAATACTATACCCCTCCGGGTTTGTTCAATATCCGAATTAAGGTGCTTAACTCGGAGTTCCGCAGTTCGGTGAAGGGTCACTACAGTGCAGCACTGTCGAGCCCCCCACAGACTAATATCTTACGTTTTGTACCTAAAGGGATACAAAACTTGTTAACGATACCCAACAGTCGATTGTTGTTGTCGTTGAGCCCCTTCTTGTTGCTCCTTGAACTGCTTGCCGGATCACTTTTCTTCACTAATCCCGAGACCCTTCCGGATTGAGCGCAAATTAGCACTAACGTGCTTAAATACTCAAGTAACCCTACAGTACAAGCCTCACAAACGGGCTAAAAAATTGATCGCAACGATCCTGACTGATTTAAATGCCTGTAAGAACAATATACCTAACAATAACAAACGGGAGTGTCGGAATCACATCTCGTCTGGGGGGATGATTTCTACTGATTTTATACTTTTTTACTGTTTTTGATTTTTTTCGGTTATTTTTTGATGTTTTTTGTTTTTCTTGGTTACTATGCTGCTTGTTGTTTGGTTTCTTGTTTATCTTTAAGGGTTTTTGGTCAAACTCTCAGGGAACGAGGGGACGGCCGATCCCCCCACCCTTCCTGGGAGGAGAATTTTCAGTGTTAACTAGACTAAAAAGCTATTGCGTTCTGAACTACCCTTCCGCCCCGGCGGTTAGGGCCTACTAAGGGCGTTATTATGAGCATCCGCTCGGCGCGGAGTGCTCGTTAACGGTTCTGCCGGTCATGACGTTAAAAAAGAATAACACCCAGGAGCGCCATAAAAACATCTATGTAACTTTCGCCCGGAAGTACATATCAACGGAAAATACAGCTAAGCTATAAACCAACTGGCCAGCGTCTAAACAAAGCTCTACATGCTTTTCTCCGTCTCTACCAAAGCCAGTTCTTTTGGTGGTCTTTCCAACTTCGGGTCGACAAAAATTGTTACTGTTCTCCGGCTTCGACCAGAATGCTCAAATTAACTTACTTACATGCGAAATTAGTGAGCTCATTGCTGGGTCTCAGTATCCCCAGACCACGAGGTCACTCCTAAAAACAGGGTTACTACTATTTTTTATTTTACTATTGTTTTTGTCCAGTAGATAAAAATCATCATCTCCATCGAAGTTGGATCAACCCTTTCCCTCAACTCCTAGCTTCTCATTATTAGAAAATGAATCCAGATGTTAATTAAATTCAATTCAGGGCATGACTAGGAAGCTAAAAGTTGGTATAAAATAGTTCAAGTTCAAGTCTCAAGACCCCTCCGGATTCCTGAATCCGGAGAAATAACACCCTTATTTCCTCTCCGGAAGGCTGAATTCACGAGTCCACCACCACCCTTCACCGTTGGCGTGAAAGGCTTTGTAACGATTGTAGCGACACAATGAATACAATTCGGAGCTGTCTTTGCTAACACTCTGTCGTATTTTCCATTTCCCGTCGTAGTTTCTCACGCAACTATCGTTGTTGTTGTGTTCTCTTTTTTAATTTCTTCTAAAATGGCGGTTTTCGACGTTTCTCGGAAGTGTGACGTAACAAATCGAAATTTCAAAATTTAGAACTTCCAGAATCTTCCGGCCTTCACGATTCGTCTAATCGTCTAAATAACACTGCTAATCCTCTAAAACTGCCAATTCTCTGGGTTAGCGGCTAGCCATCCGAAACTGTCTTTTTGTCAATTCTGGTCGAATTATTCTTATTATTATTATGATTATTATTATGGATTCAGCTATTAGAGCTTGGGTGTTTCCACCCTTAAGTTTCAGTTTCATGCAAATTTCCATGTCGAAATATCGTTGTATCTATAGTTTGTCATGAAGTAATTCCAGAAGTGCTTCAGTAGTCGTGGTTTGAGTCCCTGATGGTTGGAGTAGTCGATTGAATTTGGTAAGATGTTCACAAGTTTGCAGGTTCTGAGCCAAAACTCCTGTTGGTAGATAGATTTTATTTTCGGCAGTTCGAAAAAAGGTTTCTCTGATAACCGGGTGGCTCTGTCGAATTCCTTTAAACAAAAATACTCTGTGGCATCAATTTATAGTAACCCTTCAACATCTTGGACATAAATAGTAGATCCAATAATTGCATATACAAGGTCAGCGGTAAAATGTTGCATTGCATCAGATTTGTTACGTAGTCGTTCCGACCATTTACCCATGTCAGTGCTTTCTCAAGCACTTTTTCGATCAATCTAAGCATTTTAATGCTTGCTGCCCAGCAACTTGACCCATATAACAGCACTTGTAAAATCATCGATTTAAATATATTAAGTTTCACACGCATTGGTAGTCCCGTTGGAGTGTTTCGTTTCAGCATATAAAAGGTCTTAAGGGCTTTGGATATATTATTGCTTATAGTTTCATTCCATTTCATAATCCGC